CACTGCTGGAAAATGAACAGCCATTCATGAACCATATGGGTAGCCCTACTCACAGACAGCTGTTCAGGAGCAACAATGCTGGATACTGAAGTCCTCACTACAGGAATCTTCATGCTCCAGGTACTTGTTGTCCATGGAGTAACTTGCTCCTGCTAACGACACTCATCTGATAACCCCAGGGACTGATTTCAAGGGACTCCAAGACTAACGGGTCCTCTGCCAGAATGACATCTAAGTAGAGGGTTTCCACCTCAGTGGGATGTGATACTAATGGTGCTGCTGTTCTTCATGCCAGTCTGAGCTAATTTCTCCTCTGCTCCGGTACTGACTTCAGGAATTCCCAGGGTTAGTCTGAGAGTTTAGAGAGCTCTCAAATGGGAGCCTTTGTTGGCCTGTCAAATGGCAAGAAAGATCGTGGCTGTATTCCAAGCCCTGCAGGGTTGACTACATTGCATAGATGTTTTGGAATTTGGAATTACAATATTCTTGAATAGTCTGGGTTGGAAGTGACCTAAAGCTCTTCTAGTTCCAACTTTCTGCTATGGGCACTGCCACCTTCCACTAGCCCAGGTGGTCCAAAGCCCCATTCAGCCTGGCCTTGACCACAACCACGGATGTTACTTTCTTCCAAATGTTATCTGTTGATATTTCTGGGAGAGAGACTACTTTCAGGTTTGCTTCAGAAGTAGGTCTGAAAGCAAAACAAAAACCCTCATACAGGGAAAGAATCATAAACAACAAGCGCCAGCGTAAGGCTGCTATGCAAAATGATGCATTAGCACAGCATGGATACTATGCTAGAAGCTCGGAGGGAAGGAATGATCATGTTGTTTGCTAGAACAATGCTCAACATTGTTGCTTTATTCCCGGAGGGGCTTTGACTCCATCCTTGGCCCAGGCTCCCCTCTCTCCTCGCTTCCCGGCACGGGTCCCGCCGCTCCGGCCGAGCGCTGCTGCCGGGCCCTGCGCTCCCCGCGGGACCGTACCGCAGCGCTCCGGGGGCTGGCTCGCGTCGTTCCGAACGTGGCGTCTGCTCCGCAGCTGGCCCAGAGCCACGTTTGCTCCTTGACGGGCTATGGAGGGACGCGCGGCCTCGCTGACCGCCCGCCTGCCAGAT